GGTCAAAAGGTGGTCAAGCTGAATGACCGCTAGTGCCCACATGCGTTTTAGATAAATGATAAGGGAATGATGGTTTTGTGGGAAATGGCGCTATTTGAATTTAAGCCTCCTGAGAACGAATTTAATTTATTAAACAAAAAATGACTGCGCCTTGTGTTGTTGTGTTCCATTGCTATAATTTTTATTGGATTAATTTAGACCTCGTGTGTCATTTTCAAAGTCCAAGTAGTTCTTGTAATAAAAGCTTGAATAACAACTGTTGCAATGACCTGTGCATTGTTTCAATGATTTACCAAAAAGATATTGGATTAGGAAAACACAACATTACAAGGTTCACTCCATAGTTCTGAATATTTTGTATTTCTCAGATTTATCTAAAAATATTAAAGGAGCAGAGTGGATTTGCACATGTTGTCCCACTAAAAACAATATGCATTCCAATTAAGAACATCTAAAAACAATAGAGATTTAAGTATACTTCTTAAAGAGTGTTTCATTTTTAAATTGGAAAATTTCAAAATTTCATAATCAAGGAAGTTCTGATGGTCTTGGTTAGAACTTTTTGAATTGTCCTGAAAAACCTTTGAATCGCTTATATTAATTCTTTGTGCGTTCGTTTATAATAAATCACATAAAACAAGAAATCAAGTCCTCTGCCCAAATGTTTTATGCAAAGGAAATGAAAATGAAAATTTCTCAATCAGTCTTTTTTTCTGCTTCCTTTTATGGTATACAAACTTTTCTTTGATCTTTGATTCCAAATGTCATTCAACGTGATTCTATATTAAGGCATTAGTAATTAAAGGACGTTAAGGAAGTTAATATTTTATTTGAAGATTTTAAGATCTGTATGAAGCTCAGTGTATCTGTTTATCATCAGCAATTATACCACCACCAGCAGCTGACCTCGAGGAGTTCGAAACCTAGTGGTCAGATTTTCTGTTTGCTGATATTTACTCTAGCCAGATACAATATTTGTTTAGTTGGTATGTACAGGGCCACATAGATAAAAACCTGACCGATTTACACTGACCAATTGACCAAGGAGTGACCTTTATTGTGGCACGTACCATGGACAAGTACTTATAAGATAAAATGGCGCTCAAAACGGAAATCCAAAATTTTGACAAAATCAGTCTATTGCTTTGGCCAAAAATAATTAATATTCTTTATTCATAGTTTTCTGAATGTTTTTTTAATTTGATCGGTGATTTACATATTTTACACATCTTCCATTATTTTTTTTTTACTGTTACTAATATTGTTATTTTAATTTGTTGCCAATAAAAAATAATCTAAAAAATAATAAAGAAGTTTAAAGACTTAATGAATATGTTAGCAGACGTAAATCATATCTAAGGATTGGGCACCGCTTTCTAACGACCACTACGGATTATCAAGGTTTTTATCAGGTATGTAGGTGAGGTCAATAGAGGTCTTCCAAATCTTACTCTGGCTTGACACCAAATGACCTCTTGTCGAGGCGAATGTCCATTATGGTCAAGATGTACAAAGGCCTCCATGGAAACCCGCATCTCCGGTATCATGGGAAAACTTTTTTGTGCACAAAAAACATCGTCCACATGCATGTCTAAGTAGCGTCCAGTTCATCTGCTAAACATAGAGCACTTGTGGGAAAACAAACTAGTTGGGTATGACCTTAACTGCCCCTTTAAACCTATGGTAAAGCAAACCGCTTGTACACGTCCCAGAGATTGAGTTTGATTTCATACAGTTGGATAAAATTCTATATGAATATTATTTACAGAGGATACATTTGTGAGATTTGTTCTGACCAAATTGGATTACATAAATACGGGGGAGCATTCCTCTTTATCCAAGTGTTGACCCCGAGTTAACCTCACAGTTTTGATCACTGGTCAACAATTTATTTAAGCTTATATAAACCTCCAATTTCAATGGTCTAGGTTAAATGGCAGAGGATATTTGAATTTTTTAATAACTTTAATCTGATTTATGGTCAGACTCGGATTAAAATTAAAAGAATATACAGTTTGTATATGGAATCACAGTCTCACTTTCTTCACTTTGTGGAAAGCATGTCCAGAGTTGAACAGTAAGTAATAAAGATTCCGTATTCTTTTAAATATTTTATCCTAAAGCTTAAACTTTTTTACCTTTTCAAATTAAAGACGGCTTGCTGTTGAATTAACATGAAAAGAAGTAAAATATTTGTTTTATGATAAACAATATTTTATTTTCGTAGTCAATTTTAATCCACAAAAACGAAGTTGGGAGACAGAGAATGATTTTAGAAGCAAAATTTAATAATTTTTAAAAATTTAGTTTTTACATTAAAAAGGGAAAGCTTTATTGAATAAAGTGTTGGCAATGACTTGCCGAATATGGAATGATTTTATGAAACAAGAAGTCAAAATAAAGTTTGCTCTAGCAAGTTAAAATATGTATACATTGTATTGCTCAGTTGTTTGAGTTGAAGAATTTTCAAGGAAATGTATGCCTTTGAAAACATTGAATTTAATCACCCAATATGGCGTAATCTGACATATAACTGTGCGAGATGGTGGCACAATCACTCTTGACCATGGCACATGACTGTCAGATTTTGGAAGAAGCTTGTGTCCAATAATCAATAAAGACAAAGATACTCCGTCAGGCTAGAGGGGAAAGAAGCTTTCGAGTTGACATCTCCTGTGTTCCATGAAAATGGAAATAATGGCTTAAATTTTTTTCCTTCTACTACCATGGGAACTTTTTTCTTTGTTATTATTTCGAATACATTTATAATGGACAAAAAATGGGAAAGGGGGAAGAACGAGATTAACGTGTGGAAATTAAAGTAATCATTGACAAGACCATCACTTTAATATCTTGAGTAATATAAAAGTGGATTTCCATAAGTAGATATGTTTTGTATACAGTACCTGACAACTAGAGCCATTTGTAACCAAATACCATGTCCATTTTCCTGATTACTTGTGGTTTCTCCTGCTCTATATTTCTGATTGGAAAGGCAATTGTTTTTCCTTTCAAATAAAATGATTTTTTAATCAAGACAATAGTTTTATGCAATGATATAATGCTACTACATACCAGCAGATATTTTAAGGAAAGTATTTGCAAGCAAGTAGGAGGTGCAATAAAATTTAATCATGCAATTGAAAATAAGAACAATTTTTATTTCATAGTAACTTGCTCAAAAAACAATATGGGTATTCAAAACTCATAGTAGAGTTTATCGGTGAAAATATATTCATAATTTAAAATCTGCTTTGCTTCAAATCCATTGAGTTAATTTAGTTTTACATTAATGGTTTAGCGCATTTTTTCTGGTTAACGATATTTTTATGTATATAGATTTTTGGTAACAGGCCTCGTTTAATTATTCTTATATCGGTATTCATTTTAATTTGTTTTTTTCCCCCTTTATATATATACTTTTGAAGTCATAGACTCATAGCCAAAGTGATACAGCATCTGTAAAGGAAGGAAAATAATATCATAATATTTAAGAGACCATTTTTTTTCTTACTTAGTTTTTTTAATTCCTAGAACTAACTCGTTTTATAGTTTTCCAATAACCTCCCAATCTGTATCATTTTAAAAAAAAAAATTATAAACTGAAAAATGCATTCCAAGCTTGACCGAAATTATGTAATTCTTCTTCGACGTACGTATCATGATTTTGCCAAAAAGTTTCAGATTGGTTAGATGCTGCTGATAAAGTCCTGGCTTTCAAACCGCCATGTTTCATCCTCTTGCACTTCGTCCTGGGTGCTTGCACTGTGCCAAAATGTGAAATTAAGACCAGCCTTATCTCCTCTTAGAACCATTTGATAAGCCTTGCGCAATTGGTGTTTTTGAAGGCTCTATGTTCTTTTCTTGCAGTGAGGTACCATTAGGGATAAAGAGCGGGTCAGAGATTCTCTGATTTTTCAGAACAATTAAAGCATGACTTAAGGACAGATGATGCAAACTTTTATCAAAAATGTTTAAAATAACAAGTTAATTGAATAAGTCTAACATCATATTTTTATCATTTAAATTTTCGAAATATGTGTGCTTAGATTTTAAGAAACAAAAACTTGCATAGATAAATTATAATTGTAGCAGAAAAGTAGAATTTGAATATCATACAAAAAATTTTCAATTTCTTGATAATTTAGAAATTTATGATTTGTTTCTTTTAAAAACAATATAGGACTAAAATATATGCAAATCTAGGTACCTATTTATTTGTTTGTATCATCTTTTCTTAAGTCCATACGATATACTTTGATTTCATGCATGAAGATGAAATAAAAAAAACACTATTTTTTAAAATAAAAATTATCAAAATCCACCTTAAAACAAGCTACAGATAATGAAATAAGTGTTAACCAATTTAGTTTAAAAATTGTACCGTATTATTATAATCTTAAATTTATTATCAACATATAAATTATTAATAATTAAATGAAATTATTTTACATTACATCATGTAAACATATAGCGTAAAACATGCAATTTAAGATTTATACTTTGATAGAGAATAATATATAGCTGAGTAGTAATGAAGGGTCTTGGGTTGACTGTACAAATTATTGATCAAATGTAGTTTTATCATAGCCTTTGTAGAATTTGATGACATAATCATCTTTAATTCCTGAAGGAATCGTGTTTCTTTTTAGTCACCAATTATTTTATGTATCCAATCTCCTTTAAAGAGAGTTGTCATTTTCAAAACAAGGTGTAAGCAAGGAAGCCTGAAATGATATTGCCATTTTTGGAAACGATTTTTCAAATTAATTCTTTTTTGTTTACAGTAAGGTAGCTAATGTTGTTAATGAGAAACATATTAAGGATACAAGCAAGTACGGTAGTAATCAAATGTCTTGAATTTTTTACGAAAATATTTTACATTATCTATGTTTATTAAACCTGTGTTAGCATTAAAACTTGTAAAATTATTGCAGGTGTTTGATACACTGAATTGTTAAGAAATTATAATACTTATAGAATTTGATTTTTTTTTTCAGTGGAACAAGAGAATGATCTTTTAGTATGTGGGCTATGCCAGACAAATTTCCCTTTACAAGACATCATCAAATTCATACGTCATAAGGTCACCCGATGTAACAAAGAGAATGGTGATGTCGAAACTTCAGAGTTTGAGGACGGCGAAGAGCCGGACCCTGAGTCCTTAGCCATTAGCTCGAAGCGGACCAGCATCTCTGCCCCGATAACAAGGAAAGAACACTTTGAAAGCCGATTATCCCCCAGGCCGACCTCCGAGTCCAGTATCACTTTGAAAGATGTCAAGTTGCGGGACGAAAACTCCCAGTCCAATCTCTTCTCAGATAGAGACTGTTCCAGCCGGTCCCCTTTTAGAACATACACTAATGACAAAAGCTGCAATACAGAAATCACAGGTATGTTTGTTCTGATTTTCGCTTTGTTTTTCGTATATATTTATGAGATACCAGGTAAAATGTGAATGTGACCTCCTGGCAGTTACACACCTTTTTCATTCCCTAATTGACCTTAAGCTTCCTTTTCCAGATCTGTCTGAGTTTAAACCATTACCCAAGTATAGTTCTAAACATCTTGCTGCTATTAAAAAGTGCTTCTTGTAAAACCGTTGTTGACACGTCTTACATGTATATCCCTCAAAAATTGTAAGTCGTTATGAAAAAGTTATTTTTTAAAAATCATTTTAGGGTAGTAATAGTTTGAAACATTTGTAAAAAAAAAAAAAAAAATAAAAAAAAAAAAAGTTTGTTATGGCTATTTTAATTTAAAATGGTATTAATTTCTAATTTTATAAGATTAAAATTTTTTTAACAGAAGATGCTTAATAAATCTATGCAATTTTCTCTTTATAAAATTTCAATTTATTTGATAATCAAGAGAAAAAAAAATCAGCTGCATTTGATACATACAATTTTAAGTAATGTTTTTATCTAAGATAAATATAACGTTTTCCAAGTACTACTCCAAATGCGTACTTTTTATGCACTTAAGTAATAGTGCGCTATGTAGGATATTGAACTCATTTTGCCAAAGATATATTGACCGACGAGAGATGGCGCGCAACAGGTGGTCCAGTGATCCGTGTTTTGACTTTTATATCCTTGGCGATAGCATCTTTCACTTGAAAAATTATATATTTCTAAGCAACATAACCCTTCAGGATGTAGTGCTGCCTCCTTACGCATGCGCAGTGATTCGCAGTCAGACAAAAACATTCCACGCAGCTTGGTGTAGATTGCTTCGCCAGTAGACGTCATACCTGCATCTCATCAAAGTAATGACCAGACGTAATTAAGCAAACAATTACATAATTGAAAATGAAATGAAAACCATGTTTGTTGATAGACTTAACCTTTTAAAGACCGCTCTTTGAAGACAATCATATGGATGAAATTAAATTAAAAGAATGCAATTTTTTTTGCAAAAAATTGTACTGTGATATTTTCAAGAATTGTAAAATATCTCTAGCTTTGTTAATGGTCACTTATACAGATCTGCCTGATGTATTGTAGACCGTTATTACTCTTACCCATGAAAATGAATTTAAAAGAAAGCAAAGAACAGTAAAGTTGTGTAATTATCTCGTGGAATTTCACAGCTGATAACGGTTTGGCCTTGTTTCATCTTTTAAGTAAAACTTTGATGACTGCACAAGATGCTTTTGGCGAGCTCCAAGATGAAAAAAATATGTTTTGCATTGCAGACAAAGATTACAGTACTTGATTTAGAAGCGACTGATACCGCTTGCCTTGATTGATGATCGCCAAAACACCGCTTCTTGTTTTGATAGGGCTCCCGTGTAACAGGGGGGATACTCTCTACCGCCTTTTGCTTATGACATAATACTCGTTTTTTGTGCACGGAATCTGTACTGGCGTTTCTCCTCGACACTTTGGCACGGTTTATGAGTGGTCGTTTTTCGTGCTTTCAAAATAAGAAAAACAAACTTTCCAAAATGTGTTCAAAATTAATCTCTTTCTCTTTACAATATAAAGATAGTCTTAAAAACTGAATCTACAGTGTACAGGGGCAGGCTTCGAGTCTACTGATGTAGGTTATTGTCTTACAATTATCAGGCAAATTGTTCTACGGATCCCCTTTGTCTGCTCTTCTAACAATGATTTAGTGTTAATGTTGATACGAAGGACAACACTTGTGCTGAAATTATGACCTATTTGTTGAGGTTTCTTTGACATAACTGATTCCATTATATGATACTTCCAGGTACAATAGAAGATAGGGACACATATTCTGCATTATCACCTTGGTCATATCCTTTAACCGGTTTTTGATATGGAGCAAATCGATCAGAATTTTTTTAACTTAAGCTTATTTTGTCAAATCAATGCAAAGCGAACGTTATTTGTGGACGTCTGTCGATGCAGACTGACCAGTCGAGTACAAAGTTTTATTTACAAAATGACTCTTGCTCAAGATAACCTATCTTTATCTATATAGATCGTGTCCTTAAGGGACCTGCCAAAATGTCGAGATTTTACCTGGCCAACTGATATCTAAATTCGGAGACGGTCATTTTCAAAGCTTAGATATCTTCAGGAGCATATTTTTCAAGATGTTAAGGCTTTGAATAGCAAAAATAAATATACCATAACCAATAGATGTAAACAGTTGTTTAAAAGTAATCGTTTAGAATAAAGTCTTTATTTTGATAACTCACACTGAAGTCTACAAGATGAATTTGTCATTCTAGAAGGACATTTGAGGATAGAATGAACTTTTCCTGACTTCTAAGAAAATCCAATATTTTCAATGACTTGCTTTCATCAATAAAATTCAATTTTGGTCAGTATTTTGTGAAAAGCTAAATCGCTTCATTGCTTAAGGACTCGCCAAAATAATTGATTTTGATTGCGAAACGGAAAAATAGTGGCTCCAGATTAGACTTCAGTTTAACGATCGATACAAGAAGTCCATCATTATTTTTTTATAATTCTAAGAATCTGCAAGAAGTGTCTTGATATATTTGATGGGATGGGAGTAAAACTTAAAGTTCGGTGGAGGGTCAGATTGGTAAAAAGGAAAGAAAAATAACCCTCACATTCGTTATCTTAACAAATGTTGCACTACCATGTTTACCACGCCACGTGTTTTGACCATTGTTGCTTTTACACTCGAGGTCATGAAAAGGTTTAACTAATTCCCCAGACCTACGTCCGCCGAGGATTGCTGGTGGGGACAGCTTGGAAAATTTCATATTTTTGGTGGGTTAATTTTTTTTATCTGGGCAACAGGCAATTTGCCAAGCACATGGCTCAATACCCAGGGGCTGAAATCGACATTTTCTCTATATAGATCCCGTCGAACGTGTGATCTATGGCCATAACACTTCATCCACCTTCATTCGAATTCATAAATTAAACAAAGCCAGGAGGAAATGTCCGTAACAGTGTAGTTGTTAGGAGTGTTTTGTGGATGTCACCTCCTGTGTGTTTGAGTTGCTTGCTGCATGGTACTTTGCAGATTCACCGATAAACTACCATCATTTGTAATGGTTAAATTACAATTAGGTATATGTATTGATACCTATAATGAACCCTTCTTGTTGATAGAATGGAAGTAAGTATGTAAATGTGATTGATTGGTGGGTCCTGTGGGCAATCGCCGGTGACACTTTGAGTAAAGTATTTTCTGATAGACCATAAAACGGATCCTGATCAAACACACGCTAGGACCAGAATTTATAAAACATTTATGAAAAATCCTAGTTACCGGGGGCATCAAGCATCACTCGTTTAACTAGTTACATCACACCGAGACAGTGTCGCTCTTTGATTGGTTCAAATAATCTTTTTTAGTGATCAAACAAATTATAAACAAGTTTGTGGACGGTACGCCACTCGCCGTACTGTGTCACACGTGGGTTCATTACCGTCTAGAAGTCATTATCTGATCTAACCGGGATAGAAGTGAAATCAAGCATTTTATTCCGAGAGTCAAACTTACTAATAACCCCATATACAAAAACTAATGTCAATGACATCTATCCACATCGATTAATAAGGAGATTCAGACAGTTGATGTTGGTGTAGGGTTTTAATGAATATTTTAAAACTATACTGGTACCTACTTACTGTACTAAATGATATTGATTTTGATGTGAACATAAAAAAGAGATATTTTTCGTCTTTTACATCATTTAGCTTACTCCCGCAAAAAATGAATAAACAAATAAAAAAAATATTTATACTTTAAAACAAATAAATGTCTACACCCACTCTGTAATAATATGTGTTATGATTTTAGTTTTTTTATCCATGATGCAATGGATAACTATGTAAACTGAAAGTTATAACACAATTAGCCAAATGAGAGTTACAAAGTGATCGGTAAACAGTCCCGGTGTATAAGCTTAAGTCAGAATTTGGAATTTGTTTAAGTGTGAAAAAATACAAAATTGATATGATTTTTAAAATGTTTTCCTTTTTATGTTTAAAAATTAAATTTTAAATACTACAAACACATTTACAATCTCTTATTGATAAATTAAATGTTTATTCAAATCTTCTGCTTTGTAAATTCAAAAGAGAAATTTAAAACATGATTGTTTTTAAATGAAATAAAAACAGATAAAATGATAGGAATCGAAAGTAATACTGTATGTGCTGTTTGAAGGTGAACTAAAAAATTAATGGCTATTTTGATACGAAGCAAGACACCCAGAGCACATGGCAGACCATATTGCCAATGACCAGGCTGTGCCAAGATTAATTAAAACCAAAACAGATCAAGTCTTTGGTATACGTATGGTATCTCTTGCCTGATTTAAGAAAGATGATAATCAATCAAGAAAAAGAAATAAATCGTTTGGGTCAGTATGCCGTTTTGCGAGGAAAAATATGTTGGCATACAACCAATCTATAAAACATTGTGATCCCGCGGTGTTAGGGCGGAATGAACTGCTGATGTGTGGTACACAAATGTTCAGAAACAACGTTTTGCGTTTCTTTTCCCAATCTTAATAAAAGCGAGGATTGAAAGTGAGAGAATGGATTTGTTATGTTCGTACAAATGTTAATGTACTGACTGGCAAAGAAAGGTGCGAGTAAAAATAAAACAAAGTGTCTTCCAAAACTTCTGGAAGGGAAGAATGTTTACTAGTATTTAGCTGACCGCAATAAGCTACTTTTTGTTTAATATTCAAAATAAAATTAGGTTTAATACACATTTTTACTTGGAAATGACAAGCTTCTGATTCGTGGTCACGTCATTTGTACAAAGCGTTCAGGTGATTAGGATGACCAGGGGCGGTGCGACCCGGACATCTGTGACCCGAGCGATGATTGATGACATCTATGTTTTCTGTAGGATTCGCTTCAGTTGTCAACTTGTGGTTAGAATATCACTCATTATTACTTATATCATGGAAGGAAATCCTTGT